GCAGCAAGCAGGTGAATTCTGTACATTAATATGAATAGACATCTGACTATTTTACAGGATAGACAATATAAACATATTTAAAATTAAAGGAATTGAAATGTACATTGTGCCTTGGTTTAGAGTGTCTGGAAGAGAGTCCTGTCTCAGTCAATTATAGATGATGTGAGAGGGCGGGTGTGTGTGTTTAGGGCACGGATGGCTTGGGGATAGAAGCTCCTCTTGAGTCTCTCTGTCCTTGCCCGGAAGATGCGGAACCTTCTACCAGATTGCAGAAGTTGGAACAGTTTGTTGCCTGGATGGGACGGGTCCTTCAGTATCTGCGCTGCTCTAGTCCGGCATCTCCTGGTGTAGGTGTCCTGAAGCGGGGGGAGAGCAATCCTGCAGCAGCGTTCTGCTGTACGGATCACTCTCTGGAGAGCTTTTTGGTCCTTCACACAGCTGTTCCCAAACCACGATGTCATGTTCTGTGTGAGGATGCTCTCCACAGCGCCTGTATAGAAAATCCTGAGGATCTTTGGAGAGACCCTGAACTTCCTCAGTTGTCGTAGGTGATACAGGCGCTGCCTAGCCTTTTTGGTCTGGACCTAAATGTGGGCAGCCCATGTCAGGTCTCCTTGACAATCTATGTACTGAAGGTCCTTCAGGAAACTGGGTTTGAGTCTGTTATCCTCTCTCTGCTTTCCTGTAAACAGTCCAATCCAATAAAAATGCACAAAAATGCCAAAACTAAATAAATTTGCTGAGTATCAACTGAGACACAGTAACAAAATTGTAACCTGAAACTTAATCTAAAAAGATCACAGTGTCATTTGGCTGTCTGAGTCATACTCCAACCTAACAGTCACAAGAACAAGTAAGTTAATTTCATAGGGTCACAAGGTAAAAAGGTTCAATTTAAGGACTCCTCATAATTCAAGCATCTCTATAATTGTCTAGTTATATTATTTCTAGAGCATTTACATGTGAAAACAGCTTCACCTTATTATATGAAACTGAAGACAACCATAACAAAGTAATGCTTTGAAATCATAACTTAATTTTATTACATTTAATTTTTGACCGTGTGTGTGTTTTCTGTGTCTTGATTTAAGGCCATTTTTCATGCTGTCACGTCACACTGATTTCCCCCTAGTGGTCACAATATGTAATTACACAAAAACTGCCAAACTTTAACTGCAATAGAAAAATGCACAATTAATTAATTGATAGCAATGACATTTTAACAAATATATAATATATTAACATCACTATAAAAATGTATAAATAAGTAATAGTAATTAATAGTATAATATAAACAAAAATTGGCAATCCCTTCCATCCGGTAATTTAATGAGTACCAACAACCTTATTGCATCTTTAACCTGATCATTCATCATTCATTCAAATGGTTGCTGCAGATGGCCACCCCTCTCTGAGCCTGGTTCTGCCAGAGATTACTTCCTGCTAAAAGGGAGTTTTTCCTTTCCACTGTTGCCAAGTGGTAGAGTGTATTATTGTAAGGTCTTTACCTAACAAGATAAAGTTCCTCGCGGTTGTTGTGATTTGGTGCTACACGAATAAAACTTGAGTTGAGTTAAATTGATTGAGTCTTGGGTTTTTTTCCCCAGTCTCTTTGTAAATGTTCTGTTTCTTCCAGTAAATTTGCAAGTGTTTCTTGTCAATTAAATTTTTTTTTACATTTTCAATGTCGATGGAAACCCTAAATATGGCCTTTTTTTGTCTTCGTACATTTATACATGTAAATGCAAACTCCACACACTTTTTTATTTTTAACGTTATACAGCCTACAAACTGGATTTGGCATCAGAGCTCTTTATACTTCGGTTTTTCTGTCTGAGCTTTAATGAAATGGCCTTTGTATTGCAACGTACTGTACAACAGACCCCAGTGAAGCAGAAGCATCATGTAGTTCAGCTTTTCTCCTGTAGATGGAGAAAGAGGGCCACTCCACGGGCCCAGGGGGCAAGAGGGTTTGATGAACTTGCCTAAAGCTTAATCTGAAAGGGTGCGGAAGTTGAATGGGGGGGATATTGTTTTTATGAAAAGCAGGGCTTGTCACTACCCGATCCGTACCGGAAACCCGATCGGTACCCCGCATGCGCGAAAGGTTTCTACTTCCGGTCGTAGCGTTTTACGACCGTTATGGGTCAGAGTTTGGATTTGGAAACAAATTTTGCAAAGTGATCAAACTGTTCTACAAGCAAATTTATAGTTATGTTTCGCTCAATCCAGGCATAACATCTAGGATAGACATATTCTGTGGAATTCGACAGGGTTGCCCAATTTCTCCAAAATTATTTATTCTTTGCACTCAATTAATGGCTTACCTCATTGTGAACCATTCAGACATCGAAGGAATAAACATTTTTTATATTGAACTGAAAATAAGTCAGTTTGCAGACGACACAGTAATATTTTTAAAGGATAAATCAATACTCGAGAAAGCATTGAATGTCATTTCAATTTTTTCTAAAGCTTCAGGCTTGTGTCTGAACCTAAAGAAGTGTGAACTTTTGCCACTTTATGATTGTTTGGAAAATAGCATGAGGACGATTCCAGTGAAAAATGAGGTTAAGTATCTAGGCATCTATTTAGACAAAGACATCAACACTAGAGAATCAAAAAACCTAAAAGACAAAATTGATGGCATGTCCAAAACACTAAATCATTGGTTGACGAGAGATATTACAATTTTTGGACGCAATCTATTATCCAAATCAGAGGGCGTCTCAAAGATGGTTTATCCAGCATACTCACTATACATTACCCCGAAAAGTATTAAAAAGATTAACTCTATAATCTATCAATTCATTTGGCGCAATAAAACACATTACATTAAAAAATCACAACTTGTCAAAGATTACGCTAAAAGTGGTATAAAGTCAATGGATTTTCAATCAATGGTTGGAGTTTTTAAAATAAACTGGATAAAAGCCTTCCTCTTGAAACCTGACTCCATATGGTTCCATATCCCAAAAAATATTTTCAAAAAGGTGGGAGGGTTGGATTTTCTCCTGAAATGTGATTTTGATATATTGAAGTTGCCTGTGAAACTGTCAGAATATCATAAGCAGGTCTTGTCTTATTGGAAGATGGTGTTTGCCCATAACTTTTCACCACATTGCTCCACCTTGTGGAATAACAGAACAATTACAATTAATAAGAAGTCATTGTTTATTAAAGAGTGGTTTGAAAAAAACATAATCTTTATAACAGACTTACTTGATGAAAGGGGTCAGTTTCTCTCAGTGGGTGTTTTTAATGCTAAGTTTAACATTCAGTGTTCCCTTAGAGAATATGACAAGGTTTGTAAGGCAATCCCCTTACCTCTGTTGAGTTTGATTCAAGGTTATTTGTATTACTCTAAGGCACAAATTAGTCTACCTTCTTTACATCTAAACCAGATTCCTTTGACGGATAAAAACTGTAATAATAAAACCATGAACAAGATATTTAAGAACAAATTATTTCACGACTTTAACAGTAACACAAAACTAAAAGGGAGTAATATTAAAATAACGAACAAATATATGCACTTTTTAAAATGGCCTATCCACCCCAAAGTCAAAGAAATGCAATTTAAAATAATTAATGGATATTACCCAGCAGCTGAAATACTTAAAAAAAGGTTTGGGTTTGAGGTAGAGCCATGTGGATTTTGTTCACAAAATGTGGAAAGTATTGATCATTTGTTTTTTTCCTGCTCAGTAACAACTGAGTTCTGGCAAGATTTAGTAGACTGGTTGAGTATAAGAATAGATGGGATGACCCCACTGACTCTAACACAAGTTTTATATAATAATGGTGATCCATCTAAGGAACTGTCCATGCTACACAAGGTGGTGATAATTATGGGCAAATACCACATACACAAATGCAAATGGCAAAGTAAAAGACCTTCCCTAACTGTATTGAAAATTGAATTAAAATCTTTTTTGTCATCTTTAGAATTACTGAGGGATTCATGTAAAGAGGCTGCTTTGATATTCGACAATGGGACTCAATCTCTATCCTTTTAATGATTGTGTTTTTGGTATACTAAGTAAGCCACATATATGTTAAAGTGTTCGCAGAAAGGAAACTGTTATATGTCATAAAAATGGCCTTCATATATTTATGTATATGTATATATGTGTTTTTGTTTTTTTTGTTTGTTTTGTTTGTTTGTTTTGTTTTTTGTTTTTTTTTCGTTTGGTTTCTTATTCAACCTTTTCAAGATGTTGTTGCACTAATGTTGTCTCCCAACGAGAGATTGTAATATGTGCATAAATTTAATTAAAGTATGGAAAAAAAAAAAAAGTTATGGGTCAGAGTAAGAGTTAAGATGTTAAGAATAACAAGTATATCTTAAAATGTTTGCAATAATGAAGCGTTTCAGTACAATGTAGACAAAAACGAAAAATAAAAAGAAAGTTACGGATCAGGACTCTCCGATCCTTACTGCGCATGTGTAAAGTCTGACCGTACAAATCGGGTCTACTCGATCCGTACCGCGTATGTGCAGATGTTTTCTTCTTCTTCTGTTCGTTTAATGGCAGTTTACGCCCCAGTGTACGAGGATACCGCCACCTGCTGACCGAGCAAATAAACCCTATTATAAACTGAATTACCGTCATTACAAACGTGTGTTAAATCTGATTTAGCGATAGTCGAGTGTGTTTATGCTTGTCTGTGAGGAGAGGATTGTTGGAATAGTGATGATGATGTGCGCTATCACTGTCAATTGTCAGTAAACACTTAATCTGGCTGATGAATCTACACGTGAGATATTACAAAGTCTGCATTATTAACTCTGTAATTAGGCGCCATTCTTCTTATTTTACGGCGCTGTTGCTCAATCGGGGGACGCACATTGTTACCGTACTTTTTACTTTAGTGTTCTAACGCTACTGTTTTTTTAAGCAAGCTCTCGTCGCGTTTGGTGATTTTATTTTGAAAATCGCTAAAGGAAGTGGAGATTGACAACAACCGGAAGAGTTGGTAAATAAACCGTGTTTAAACTCAAAGAGCATGCTGAACATCTGTAGTAGGACAGAGCGGTAATAAGACATGGAGGACAAACAGCGGGAGCAGCTCGGAGGAAACCCGGACTGGATGTCGCGTTTGCCGGAGGAGCTGCTGGACGTCCCGCTGTGGAACCTGGCATTACCTGGTAAAACAGGAGCAACCAGTTCAGCCAGTTCAAGACAGAAAAGAATAGAAAACACTCTCATACAGATCACGTGTTTATTTTAAAAATATAATTATCCTTAATTTCAGGTTAAACTGTAATAAAAAAAATTGTCTCAGATGCTTGTTGACAGGCTCTTCTCGCACCACAGGCAGCCATGACAGCATGTCCTTCAGCCTGGATGTCTCCTCTCCTGTGGTGAGATCGGAGTCCTGCTTCCTCAGACTGACTGACAGGCTGTTCCCCTGCTGTACTCGACCCTGTGTTTACCGCTGGGCCACCACGCAGGTATTTTACGGTCCCCCTAAAGGTGAAAGAGAACCAGGAACCTGCACCACCTCAGGTGAAGCTCCCTACCTCGTAAAAGGTTTGGGGAATTCATCTGAGGTTTTGATAATTTGATAATTACTGAACTACCGTAGTTTGGAAGGAGGAAGGCAAGGCAAGGCAAGTTTATTTGTATAGCACAATTCAACAACAAGGTGGTTCAAAGTGCTTTACAGAGACATTAGAAACAAAAACAAATAAAAAGCACGATTTAAAATTGATTAAAACAAGCAAACAAACAAACAAACTAAATAACAAACAAACAAAACAGTATGTAAAAAAAAAATCTAAACGGATAAAATCAGAACAGTAGATAAAATCAGTAGTTAAAGTGTAAGTTTTGAAGTTTAAGCTTAAAAGTGTGGATTTGGTGCTTTATTCAAATGCAGCTGAGAACAGGTGAGTCTTCAACCTGGATTTAAATAAACTGAGTGTTTCAGCTGATCTGAGGCTTTCTGGGAGTTTGTTCCAGATATAAGGAGCATAAAAGCTGAATGCAGCTTCTCCGTGTCTGGTTCTGACTCTGGGAACTGATAAAAGACCGGATCCAGATGACCTGAGGGATCTGGAAGGTTCATACTGGGTCAGGAGGTCACTGGTGTATTTTGGTCCTAAACCATTCAGAGCTTTATAGACCAGCATCAGAACTTTAAAGTCTATCCTCTGACGGACAGGTGGCCAGTGTAAAGACCTCAGAGCTGGACTGATGTGGTCCACTTTTTTGGTCTTAGTGAGGACTCGAGCAGCCGAGTTCTGAATGAGCTGTAGTTGTCTGACTGATTTTTTAGGTAGACCTGTAAAGATGCTGTTACAGTAATCAAGCCTACTAAAGATGAATGCATGGACTAGTTTTTCCAGGTCCTGTTGAGACATCAGAGCTTTTATCCTTGAAATATTCTTGAGGTGATAGTAAGCTGACTTTGTTATTGTCTTAATGTGTTTTTCTAAGTTTAGGTCTGCATCCATCACTACACCCAAATTTCTCGCCTGGTTTGTGGTTTTTAGGTGTATAGATTGAAGTTCTCTGGTGACCTGTAATCGTTTTTCTTTGGCGCCAAAGACTATTACCTCAGTTTTGTTTTTGTTTAGCTGGAGAAAATTGTGGCACAACCAGTCATTAATTTCCTCAATGCATTTACCAAGAGCCTGTACAGGGCCTTGGTCTCCTGGTGACATTGTGATATATATTTGTGTGTCATCTGCATAGCTGTGATAGTTTATTTTGTTGTTGTTTATAATCTGTGCCAGTGGGAGCATGTAAATGTTAAACAGAGGGGGTCCCAAGATGGAACCTTGGGGAACTCCACATGTGATACTTGTCTGCTCAGATGTGAAGTTACCTATTGATACAAAGTATTTCCTGTTTTCTAAGTATGTTTTGAACCAGTTTAGTACAGTTCCTGAAAGACCTGCCCAGTTCTCCAGTCGTTTGAGTAATATGTTGTGGTCAACTGTATCAAATGCTGCACTGAGATCCAGTAAAACTAAGACTGACATTTTTCCACTGTCTGTGTTCAGACATATGTCATTGAACACTTTGGTCAGAGCGATTTCAGTGCTGTGGTTCTGTCTAAAACCTGACTGGAAGGCATCATAGCAGTTATTCTGTTTTAAGAAGTAATTGAGCTGTTGAGAAACTGCGTTTTCAATGATCTTACTTAGAAATGGGAGATTTGAGATCGGCCTGTAGTTGTTCATTTGTGTCTTGTCAAGATTGTCCTTTTTCAGTATAGGTTTTATTACAGCAGTTTTTAGTGGTTCTGGAAACACACCTGATATTAAAGAAAAGTTGACGATCTGTAACAGGTCTGACTCCAAAGTCTTTGAGACCTTTTTGAAAAAACTTGTTGGCAGGACATCTAAACAGCAGGAGGAGGAGTTCAGTTGACCTATGATGTCCTCCAGGTCTTTGCTGTTAATAGGGTGAAACTGTTTTATGGTGTTTAAACAGTTTTTCGGTGGACACAGTACATATCCTGGATCTGCTGTTGATGTACCAATTGCTTGTCTAATCTTTTGGATTTTTTCTGTGAAGAATTTGGCAAAGTCATTGCAGGCCATGGTTAAATGAAGTTCACCTGGCACTGACACAGGAGGGTTTGTTAGCCTGTCAACTGTGGAAAATAAGACCCGAGCATTATGACTGTTTTTAGTGATGATGTCAGAGAAGTAGGACCTCCTTGCACTCCTCAGTTGTAAATTATAATTGTGAAGTTTCTCTTTATAGATGTCATAGTGAACCTGGAGGTTTGTTTTTCTCCATCTGCGCTCAGCTTTCCTACACTCTCTTTTTTCATTTTTCACTAGTGTGGAGTTTCTCCATGGAGACTTTTTCCTTCCAGAGATAACCTTCACCTTAATGGGAGCAATTGTATCCATTACATTTAACGTTTTTATGTTTGATCATGACTTACTGTATACAGTACTGTGTAACGAGCCGCCCCTCATTTCTTCATATTTTGCTTCTAATCAGACTATCTTCATGTTTTTTTTTGTTAAAGTGGTCTTGAGCGGTTCTCCAGGCTTTCCGAAGGTCCTTGAATGTTTTTCTTTGGACATCTGGATGCTTATTTGATCATTTCCCCCCAGTACTTAAACCATTTTCAGAGGAATGGTTTTTTTGTTTGTTGAGGCACTTAACACTAAGGTATGACTCATTCCAGCATCCAAAAAAGGCTCCTAACGCAAAGACGGAACAAGTGTTGTGTCTACACATGCAAATATCTAACCAACTTTAAACTGTATCTTTAAGAGTTTTGTTACTAGAAGCCTGTCACAAAAATGGGTTGAATGTTAGAAAAATAACAAAGATAAGGGTTTAACAGACATAAAATGTTCTTTTTAGCACTACCAGCTGAAAACTTGGCAGATCTCAGCAGTGTGTCATTAAAAAGTTTGAGGAAGCTGCACAAGTGCAGAAAAAAGAAGAGGCGGATCTATAAAACTATTTTAAAAAAGTGACTAGCAAGTAACCTGAAACAGGAAGAAAAAGTTGAGATATGTCATACTACGCAAGAATTAGACTGAAAATCAGAGACAACAGGTGTGATGGAGTGATGAATGCAAATGTGAAATTGTACAGAGGAGATCAGGAGAGAGATACAGCCATCTGTACAACATGGTGGAGTCTCTGTCATTGTTTGGTTCTGGTGTTTCAATATTCATTCTCTTTCTTGGCTACAGCTATCGGTCCTTTCTGATCAGTGTGATCTTGGTGTTCGTTTCTTGGACCTGCGGATCGCCAGAAAGCCAGCAGGGAGCAGCAAATTGTTTTTCGCTCACGGCATATACACGCTAATAACCGTCAAGGTCAGTAAACTACACCAAAACGGCATTGATACTCAGAGTGAAAGCTAATTTACAGCAAATTTTAACGTCTGTCTGCATGCAGGAGGCTCTGGATGAACTGGCCGGCTGGCTGGACGCTCACCCCAAAGAGATTGTAATCATTGCCTGTTCACACTTCGAATCTCTAAGTGACGAAGACCACGCCCATCTGATGGAGTTCATCCTTCTGCTGTTCAGAGGGAAGCTGTGCCCACCACAGGTAGATAGACATTATTAGGATAATGATTGATTTCTAAAGTTTAATAATGCCAAATATTCACTGCTTTCAGCCTCTCAGATAAGGATTTACCATTTTAACTTCAGCAGATATAAATACATGGAACTGATCTCAACCACAGGCTCATTGGGAACCCCCGACTAAAACGAATGCATTTAAGACTGTAATCCTGCAATAAATCCTTTAATCATTTAGGTCATGGTGTTCAGTTTCTGTTGAAACTCTTTTCGACTCAGGTGTTTCAAATATCAGAGGTATTGCTCTAGTCCAGAAACCTGCTAATATACCACACCACAAACGTCACGCTCCGAAAATTAAAACGTGTTGCTGTAATCATGTTATTAGCCTGCATTGGTTTTGGCACAGTGTGCCTAATAAACTGACAGTTTGATTCATGTGTATGCATGCAGGAAACTCCCACTCTGCGGTCATGTTGGTCAAAAGGTCAGCAGGTCATTGTTTCCTATGACGACCAGGAGCTGCAGCACCCTGGGCTGTGGAATCGGATACCTTATTGGTAAAATACATAGACTGTATGTAGAAGGGTTAGATAGACTTCGTAGCTTAAGTGTCTTCGATTCCGTGATTTCGGTTCTGATTACTTTCTCTGGCAATATTAGCTGTTCTTTTTTTGTTTGTTTGTTTGTTTTGTTTTTGAGCATCTTGGTGTCTCAAAAGTATTAATAATAGATGTTGGTACAGTGACTTTAAACCACACTGAGAACAGCAACAGCCAAAGGTTCAAATATGACATAATTGGAGTGTCATATTTTAATGTGTGTTCACTGTCAGACATAATACGTGCTTGTTGGTTTATTTATAAATGGTGTGACATGGTGTGAAATACAATATTAAATATGTAAACACTGGTTGCATGTAATATATACACGTATGTAAAGATAGTTTGTTTCCTCCTATTTTCAAACCTTAGACCTTATGTGGTTTTCTTGGTCTTCTTCTCTCCCTCCTTCTTTTTGGGTCTTTGACTGGTGACCAAGACTGGTGGCCATTAGGGGAAAAAAACAGATTTAAAGCAGTGCCTGATTACTTTTACTTTTCAAGGCTACTGTCTGCACAGTTGGTCATGTCACTAACACTGAAATGATTGAACCTGTCCTGTGTGTTCAGGTATGCTAACAGCCCAGATCCTAAGAAAGTGATCACCTATCTGGAAGGCCAGCAACGGCAGGGAAGACCAGGTATGAGGTTGTTGGAACAAGTAGTGCAGTGAGGGAAAGTAGTAGCATTACAGACCTGTATTTAAAATGTAGAGCAAAAGTACTGGATACAGAATATACTGTAAAGGTAGTTTACTGGATTTAATAACCTGCCAAAGGTACAAATGTTAGTTTGTACATATATATGCATCCCACACAGCCTGTGATGGCTTTCAGTACCACTGTTTCCTCTGATGCTGCTTCTTCTGCTGTAATTTTTTTTAATCATCAGGAAGCCAGTGGATAAAATTGGAGAGAAACTCCACGGCAACACAGCCACGCCACATACAACTATACTTGCTGCTAACAATGTTGGACACTTTTGCGGGTTTATGTAGTAGGATTGACAGATTCAATGCAGAAGTATAATTTATGCTTAAGCTCAAAATTCAAAGCGTATTCAGACTACGCAGGTTTTCAATAAAAATCCAACATGGATTCGGATTTGCTGCCCCCATGTGGCGAACGTTTTTATTGAAAGTTGAAAAGGTTTATTCAAAAATTTAAATGAAATGTTTTTATTAAAACAGAATAATTCCTTTAAATACCAAATTTCTAATATTCATATACTGTTGATTGAGCCACCAAAATATATAATATAATTATTATTAACCTTTTTTTTTTTTTTTAAACTCTTGAGATTAAAAATCTTTTACAAGAACGTCCTGGACAAGATGGACAGAAGTATTCTCATAAGTTTAATAATATAATAATGTCAGTGACGTAGTAAAAATACTCTGAAGTGTACTGCTTCTGCAGCTAGCTGGGATTTATTTTACCTCAGGTTTTATTTGCTGTTCGTTTCTTTAAGCACCGGCCTTACAGACGGTTTTGTTTTCCAGATGGTTTTTACGTCACTGGTCTGAACCTGACAGAGACCATGTTTTACGTCTTCCTGCACCCTTTCCAGAGCATGAGGATGTTGACGTTGAACTCTCTCTCACTGCTTCTCCAGTGGGCGGGTGAGCAGCAGCCAGGACCCGAGGGAGTCAACATTATGTGCTGTGACTTCGTCGGTATGAGCGAGTTCTGCTCGCTTGTCGTCGAGCTGAACTACAAACTGGTGGGCAGAGGCTGCAGGAAGCTGCCAGCATCCTCCAAAATAAGTGCCAGTTAATAATTTTGTGAGCCTGCCATCCTGTTTATACAGTTGTGTGCTTGATGTTTTTGTTTTTTAAGCATCACATTACCGTCTACATGTTTATTCAGGTTAATTTCAACATGCTTTACCTAAAACTATAAGGAGGTACACAAGTTACATGTTCTTTACACATTCACTGTGCAAGTGTAGTTAAAGTTTTATATTTTGCACTACTGGACACTTTTCCACAAATATTTGCACAAATATGACAATCTATATATTGTATATGCATTTTCTTTTTTATTTTGACTTATTTTTAATTTCTAATTCATTTTTCTTTTTCAATGATTTTTCTTACCTCATAACTCGTCTCTGTGCTGTGAACTTTTCTTTAGGGATCAGAAAGTCTTATCTTTGCATTTCACAATGCCACATGTTACAAATTTTAGTGTTTACTATCAACATCACGAATGCTAGCAGCCTTTTAATTAGCGTACAGCTATACAATAGTTAGCTTGGAGAACAACGTGCTGAATACTAGGTCTCTTGCACTATATCTTGTATGATGTTACATTTCTTTTTTGTTTTACTGTAAATTAATCAAATGCTGGTATTTCTAAATAAATATTTTCATATTTATTTTTCACATTGTATTTTATAAACAGCTGTGTGGGTGCTGTTTGGTGATTAGCATTGTCACCCCACACCAAGCAACTCTTGAGTTTGAAACTTTGCCTGCGTGGCTTTCTTCTACAGTCCAAAGAAACGCATGGGTTATGTCACCTGGTTATTCTACATTTACCGTCACACTGCCTGAATAATAAAAATCTGTGATTTTTGTACCTGGATTTGTTTGTAATGAAGATATTTAGAATCCTCAGACGATGCGCACAAACAAAATGATGAAGGCCTGGCTAAAAATGACTACTACTAATAATATAATAATAATAATAATTTTCAGTTTTCCAAAACGCCACAAGCTACAAAATGTTCAGGATTAAATAAAATAAATAAATTACATGTGAAAACAACAACAACAAAACAACAACAAACAAGAACTTATAGTTGTTTACTTTTTTCATACCAAGCTTGATGTCCAAACTTTGACTTAATTAGCAAAAAAGAAGCAACATCTGTCAGATATTCAAATATTAAAAGTATAGAAAAAAAAACTTATTTTTTTAGACAAAAAGGTGCATTTTTTAAAATCTCATTTTTAAAAACCACAGCCTCTTCTTTTTAACATCTATTAAATATTTTTTTTTTGTTTTTTTTGCTGCATTACTGAGACCTATGGCTATTTCACCAGGAAAAATTAGCCTTTTTTGGATAGATTATATTTCTAACAGTGACACAGAAGAGTCTATTGATAAGAACCCAAACCCAGGGTAAAGTGGTTCAGTGAAGGCACCACAGAAAAAGGTGTACAGGTGAATCTGTGAATCAGGCAAGACTGCGTAGAAAGCCAGAGTGCCTTCAGTCCAGTCTAAATATACTCCCACTCTTTCAGAGGCAGAGGACAGAGGAGCAAGGAGAACTGTTTTTATATTATTGTGCCAGGCGTAGATGTTTTTATCATTGAACTCTAAATTCCATGATTTCTCATTCCATCCAAGCCTGCTGCCATCTAGAGCTCCCCTCCTTCTGACGCTTTTGTAAGTTGCTCCAATATCAACACCTCCTTTCCACTCCACCTCCCAGTAACAGCGGCCTGTCAGACCCGTTGTACAGAGCAGCTGGTAGCACCAGTCGAATCTGTCCGGGTGTTCAGGATATGGCTGCTTCTCTGGTGACAGTCTTACTTTTCTGTTATTCTCAAACAGGACAACATTTTTGTGGGCTGTGTTTGGGTCCAGTGTTAGTTCACATGCATCTAAGGAATACACAGAGAGGAAAGGGTGAAATACAGCAGTAAGTCTGAAGGTTTTAAATCAAACCAGAAATATAGTGTTACATCTTATATACTTACACTTCCTCAGACCAGATTTCAGCCTCTGAAGACCACTGTGGTCCTCGCTGGAAGGGGAAAATCAAAGTCAGACCAGACTGGAGTCCTTTAGCATTTCTACAGTTCCTGTACTCCAATGTACATCATACCTGAGGGAGTCCAGTCTCCAGTTTGGATCCTTCAGTCCCACAGATCGTAGCTTTACTCCCAACTCATCTGGATGGTTATAACTGAGGTCAAGTTCTTTCAGATAGGAGGGGTTGGACCTCAGAGCTGACGCCAAAGACGTACAGCCATCTGCCGTGATCAAACAGCCTGACAATCTGCAAGAGTGCAAAACTGAAGTGATCCATCCACCTAAAACTAATATATAATTTGCATGATAATTGGTGCAGATGGTCATATGCAAGTGAGACAGTGTAAAGTACCTCTCAAGTGTCTTTCAAAGCAAAAAAGTAATTCCTCAGGTACAGCAGCTAGTTTTAAAAATGGTCTTGTTCAAGATTTGCAAAAGAAACAGAAATGTGCTCATAAGAATCTGCACTCAGTCTGTCCACCACAACTATGAATTCATTAGTCCGACTTCAGACAAAAAAAAAGCCCTCTCTTGCTTTGTACACTATGCTATCTGAGAAGTTAAATGAAAATGTTTGCACTTTCATAACTGTGGCTGTTTGTGCATACTGTTTAGTGAAGATGTTTTATTTATTTATTTATTTTTTGCTTTTTTTTCTGTTGTGTAGGTTTAGGTTTTTATTAATTATTTAGTTTTATTGACTCTGCAGCAGTTTTAAATGTAGCTCTTAAGGGTTATTTTCATTGTAGTTTATAACCTTTGTCTTATGGAGATGGAGTGTGTGTGCAAACACAACATTAGTTCAGTTTTATTTACATTATGCCAATTCACAATAACAGTCACCACAAGTTGTTTTTTTTATATTGCAAGGTAAAGACCTTACAATATTAGGATGAAGCCCCAGCCACCAGTTGATCCCCTATGAACAAGCACTTGGCAACAGTGGAAAGAAAAAAATCCTTTTAACTTGAAGAAACTGCTAGCCAGGGTTTAGGAAGGGGCAACCATCCTGACAGCAAATCGTCTACTAGGAAAAAAATGGGTCCCCTTGTCACAGTTGGCTGCCTGTCCAGTCTTTTCACAATGACCCTTACGGTGCAACACATATTCCTCAGATGCATACCCAAACGTTTGTAGTCTACAGTGTGGGCTCCTCAGTCCAGCAGAAAGCAGTTTTACTCCTGAATCTCGTAGGTCATTGTTACTCAAATCCAGGTGTCTCAGACTGCAAGAGTCAGAGCTGAGGACCAGTGAGATATATTGACCACATTTCTCTGTGAGATTTGTGTGATTCAACCTGAAAAATTAAGAATGTTTCTCCATGTAATTTCTGTGATCCATTTACCTTTGACTTTCATTATCATAATGAACAAAATATGTGTGTGTATGTATATATATATATATATATATATATATATATATAAAGCTTAAACATATTTAAACTATGGTACAAACCAAGCCAAATTAAAGGATATTAGAAGTCTCAAGCATTGGCATATTTATAAACACCAAAGATTAAGTCAGAAACTCTGTAATTAAAATTAATTAAGTGATGTTAAAACAATAAACAGCACTAAAATAAAATTAAAATGTTTGGCTAAGTTAGTGTAAAAATGTGACCTCACCTCAGAGTTTCCAGTCTACAGTGTGGACTTGTCAGCCCAGTAGACAAAAGCTTGATGCCCGAATCCCACAGGTGGTTCTTACTTAAGTCCAGCTCTCTTAGACTGGTAGACTTTGACATCAGAACGTCACAAGTTCTTTCTGATAACCTGCAGCCACTCAGGCTAAAGGATTAGATTCAGTAAATGTGCGATTTGGATATATTTATTTATTTATTAGGGGTGCAACGATATTCGTATCGATATTGAACCGTTCGATACAGTGCTTTCGGTTCGGTACGCATATGTATCGAACAATACAACATTTGTAATTTATTTTATCAATTTTCCTTCTGACGATGCTGTCTGTGTTGAGCGCTCAGTGAATCTGTGTTCGACTACTCCGCCTAGGCTGCACTGTCGAGCGCAGATCCACTGAGCGCTCAACACAGACAGCATAGTCAGAAGGAAGAGAGCAGGGCAAGCTAGCGAGACAGAAGTTAAGCTCTACTTGCAACAGGCAAATTGAACCTCATTCAGATCTGGCGTTTGGAATTATTTTGGTTTTCATGTGACGTATGACCCTGAAGGTAAGCGAGTCATGGACTAAAGTAAAACAGTATGTTGGATGTGCCATGCAATGCTCAATTACATTGGTGTGAACTAGTGTGTTAGCGCAGTTAGCTCGTTAACGTGTTTGCCGTCTAGCCCCATGCACGGAGCGATCGGCGGTAGCTCGTTAACGGAGATTTGCCGTGTTGTGGCGTTAAGGTCATTTCAACGAGATTAACCTGAAAGCACTAGTGGGAACACAACGAATATGACTGCACATTTACGCCGACATCATCCTAGTGCAAAGACAAAAACAACGAGCATGCTACTAACTTTAGCCGAGTCATTTAGACAGCTGTTAGCTGTCTCCTTATGCTGCTGAGAATATAGCCCAGAAGAAGTGGATAGTATAGCTTTTATTTTGGAAAGAGCCATTTCTCTGTAATAAACTCTCTTTTCCAAAGATGAGCGATTCCTCAATCAGATACAGGGCTTGCAATATCGCTAGCCCGACGTCCTGGAGCTAGCGATTTTTTTCAGTCGGGCTACCAAAATCTCTCTCTTCCCTGCCGTCGGGCTATTGTAGGAAAAATATATGTCAATGCTTTTGCATTCTTTCAGAAATGTAGCTGGGTAATTATGTCATTGGCATCGGTGAGCCACTGTCAATATGTGACATATTGAAGTCGCGTTTGAATTTGCGCTTGTTTTTTTGCTTTCACTTTGCAATCGTGCGAACTGTGTATAGAGAGCGTGATGATAATTTGTGCACCAATTCCTCTGACATCGTCTTATTAATCGTTAGCTTACTATGCAAACATGACAAGTGAAATCTCCCGCAGCTTAAACATGTGAGAGGTTGATCGCGCAGAGAATCGCTGAGCTTATGTGAGTGAGCGTGTAAAAGCATTTCAGTTCTGCTGAGCCAAATAAGACAGGTCAGGGTGAAGAAGTGACAGCCAAAGAAAAGCTTACCACAAAATGGAGAAGTTATGACAAATCAGACTATAAGGCAAAAAGAAAGTGCAGCTTTATGGTTTCATGGACAAAAGAATTTCTGTGGCTGCAATATGATGAGCTAAATAACCGGGGCTGCACATAAGTGGTCCACAGGTGCGCATTCGCTGTCAAAATAAAAAACACGCACGCAGGGTTAGGGTTAAATTTAAAAACTGTACTTTTGAGTTAAAATATATATTTATAATTTTAATAAATGACAAATTAAAAATGCATGAACATTTTTTTGTATCGAAAAAATATCGAACCGTGACACCAAAGTATCGAACCGAACCGTGAATTTTGTGTATCGTTGCACCCCTAATATATATATATATATATATATATATATATATATATATGGAACATTTAAATATGTAGGATTAAGGTATAAACCATTCTACTACCATTTAGGTATAAAGCATGGCAGAAGAGATTAGAAAACTTTAAAATGTCAGTAACTGTTATAAACAGTAGAACAGAGTGTACCATGACATAAAAATAACTTTCTATATCCATCGCACTGATATAGCTTTTTCATTTAGGTGCACCTACAAAAAAAGATTGACACAAATTTTGCTCAAATTAAAAGTAACAAATAACCAAAACCGACATTATGTATAGAAAGTATTAGAGTTTACAAGTTGAAATCTGACCTGAGAGTTTTCAGGATGCAGTACGGACTATGCAGTCCTGCAGACAAAAATGTCACTCCGGAATCCTGCAGATCATTGTTACTGAGGTCCAGATCTCTCAGACTTGAATACTGGGAGCTAAGAATTGTTGAGATGTCATTGCAGCATTTCTCTGTGAGGTTGGTTTGAGTTAACCTAACAAATGAGATACAGGTCTTTAACGTGTATACTTTAGAGCATTGTAGACTATGTTTTTAAAAAGGTCAATTTTATAGAAACTTGCAGTATCCATAATCAAATACAAACAAAAAGTTCTCTGTACCAGGTTAGCTGTTTTATTTATGAATAAGCATCTTATAAATAAGAAACATTTTACCAAAGGACAAAGCATTTGCAATTACATCTAATGTCACAGTTGCAGAATCAAGGTAGCCAAATATGTCTTAACCTGACCTCACCTTAGAGTTTGGAGTTGACAGTGTGGACTTCCAAGTCCCTCACAGAGCAGTTTTACTCCTGAGCTCTGCAGGTCATTGTCACTCAAGTCCAGCACTCTCAGACTAGACACCTTTGTGCATAAAGCTGATGATAACCCTTGACAGCATTGCTCTGTGAGACCAGTTCGACTCAATCTGATAAAATAAAAAAATACATCTTAAAATGTTTTTAGACCAAACATTTATGGGATGTGATACAGTGGCGTAGGAAACGTGTTTTGTGTAGGCCAAGAGAGTTTGATGGAAGTTGCCATCACACTGTCTCTATCATCACATCTCTTGAATAAAAAAAAAAGCCAATGGGATTTTTAAAAAGAGATTACTTTTAAAAGAGATTATTTTTAAAAAGAAATTACTTTTGGATGATTCTGCAAAATAAGTTCTGCAGGACATGTTTTGGAAATTTACATCTGTTTTTAAAGATAAATTTGATTATGTTGATTGTAATGTTGAACAAAATATGCAATTTTTAATGATCTCTGAAACATAAATTCCAAGTAATAAAATACAAATTTCAGGCTACAAATGAATAATATCAAGTTGTGTGACTTGAACATCATCGATACGCTTCTGTAAATGAAGTAATGATGCTAATTATCCCCCAAAACTGGAAATGTCTGAATTAGGTACTTGCTAGCAAACACCTTCTCAGGGACACTTGAAATCTTTATAATTCTGTTGTAGAACACAAGTCTGAAGGTTAGCCACAGATTTTATTATAAGCATGTAACCAAAAACTAATTTTAAAAAACCTAATGACTTTAAGATCCAAATGTAAAACTTTAACATAAGTCATAATCCAACCGGAGAGTTTCCAGTCTGCAGTGCTGATTTCCCTGTTCAGAGAAGAGCATCACTCCTGAATCCTTCAGGCTGTTGTTGCTCAGGTCCAGCTCTCTCAGATTAGAGGAGGTGAGAATGAAAAACAGCGTATCATGACTTTTCTCTGACAGATTACAACCAATCAGCCTGTAGAAGAATTTAAATCAGTGCACAAATTAAAAACAAAACACAACATACAGAATTATTTTAAATATCACACCACAGATTTTTAATTGCTATGTAAAATAGGATATCCCGACCTGAGTGTTTCCAGTCTACAGTTTGGACCTTTTAGCCCAGCAGAGAGTTGTTTCAGTCCAGAGCTCTGCAGATTGTTGTAACTCAAGTCCAATTCTCTCAAACGAGAAGTCTGTAGAACTAATGACAGCTCTTGACAGCATTTCTCCGTGAGATTGTTTTGGTTCAACCTGGTAATAAGATGAATATAAACATGTTTTGTTTAGACATTTACCATTTCTGTTCAATTTTTAGCAGTTTCAGCAGAAACGACTGTGAAAATTTGCCCAAAATGTGTTGATCAAACCTTAGCTTTTCTAGGCTACACTGTGGATTTTTCAGTCCAGAAGACACCAACTTCAGTCCTGAGTCCTGCAGGTTGTTGTTTGTCAAATCAACATCTCTTAGAGTGGAAGACTGAGCGCTAAAAACTGAGGCCAAACCTTCACAGCATCTCTCTGTCAGATTACAGCCACTCAACCTACGTTTATTATTCATACAAAAGGGAGCAATGTTAATCACAACAAAAAAATCTACTGATATCTGCCAAAATGTATTATTATATGTTGGCCAGATACGTAGTTATTAAATGCATGTTCATGTGGTCACCATCAAGAAACTACTGAAAGTAATTATGGTATTAAATTCAGGTTTTAAGTACCCAAGTAAACAGCTCTGTATTTTCAGTGTGTTATTTCAGATCCTGCATAAATTATATAAAAAATTTCCTTCTCATATAGAGGATGCATCGTTCATAGCTTTTAAATCACAGCTAGAACATTTAGAAAATAATGCATGCAGATCTAGTGCATTAAATAGCCCAAAAACGTTCCTAAAAACTACAGCAAAATTTAAGATACAGAAACTCTGGAACAAAGACTCAAAATCTCATGGTAATTAAAATGAGCATTTCTCCAAAACAAAACAACCAGACTACTTAGAAAGAATCAGGAACATCGATCAATAATGGAATTTTGCTGAAGCTGTAATTGTATCAACTGCCAGTATGTCATTAAACTCATCAGAAATAGTGAAAATATAGTTATTAATGAAGTTGAATGATTTCATATTTTTGTTTTACTTTCTTTCTGTATTTACACATCCCATGATTTCCTTTTTTAAGCTTTTCTCTTTTAGCTTTCTCTTTGTTTAATCTATTTGTATTTTTTAAACATATACATGCATTGATTTCTAAGTAAATTATAATTTCCTGACTTACTTTATTTTCAGCAGATTAAGCTAAATGCAGTAGTTCTTTAGCAGTTGTTTCCCATTTTTCAGGAAACTTACAGAGATTTGTTGGAGGCTTTGACCACAGGCAGCAGCCTCAGAAGACCTTCATCAGAAGCAGAGTATTTCTTCAGGTCGAACATGTCCAGGTCTTCTTCTGATGACAGTAAGATGAAGACCAGAGCTGACCACTGAGCAGGAGACAGTTCATCTGGGGAAAGGGTTCCTGAATTCAGATACTGTTGGATCTCCTCAACCAGAGAATGGTCATTCAGCTCATTCAGACAGTGGAACAGGTTAATGCTTCTCTCTGGTGACAAACTCCTCCTGATCACACTCTTTATATACTCAATTGTTTCCTGCTTCCCAAGAGAGATATTTCCTTTCTGTGTCACCAACCCACCAAGAAGTGTGAGATTTGTTGGCAGGGAAAGACCCAGAAGGAAGCGGAGAAACAAGTCCAGGTGTCCATTGGGACTCTGTACAGCCATGTCCACAGCACTTTGGAAAAGGTGTGATAGCTTAGATTTGTCCCTGAATAAATTTGACCACCAAGTTTCAGACTGAAACAGATTCACGCCAAAGTTTGTCAAAGTCAGAAAGACATAAAGAGCAGCTAGAAACTCCTGAACGCTCAGATGGACAAAGCAAAACACTTTCTCCTGGTGCAGCCCCCTCTCCTCTTTAAAGATCTGTGTGAACAATCCTGAGTACACCGAGGCCACTCTGAGATCAATGCCAGATTCTGTCAGGTCTGATTCATAGAAGATCAGGTGACCTTTCTGCAGCTGCTCATATGCTAGTTTTCCCAATGACAAAACCATTTCCCTGCTCCCTGGATTCCAGTGTGGATCCACCTCAGCTCCAATGCAATACTTGATGCTCCACAGTTTTGCTTGAACCACCAGGAAGTAGATGTACATCTCAGTCAAGGTCTTAGGCAGCTCTCCTCCTGCTCTGGTTTTCAGCACATCCTCCAAAACTGTAGCAGTGATCCAGCAGAATACAGGGATGTGGCACATGATGTACAGGCTTCGCGAAGTCTTTATGTGAGAGATGATCCTGCTGGCTTGCTCCTCTTCTCCAAATCTCTTTCTGAAGTACTCCTCCTTTTGTAGGTCAGTGAACCCTCTGACCTCTGTCACCATGTCAACATATCCAGGTGGAATCTGATTGGCTGCTGCAGGTCGTGTGGTTATCCATAGCCGAGCAGAAGGAAGCAGGTTCCCACAGATGAGGTTTGTCAGCAGAACATCCACTGAAGTGGGCTGTCGAGCATCAGTCAGGATCTTATTGTTTTGGAAGTCCAGAGGAAGTCGACACTCATCCAGGCCATCAAAGATCAACACAACCTGTAATTCCTCAAAGCTGCAGAGTCCCACTTCTTTGGCTTCAGTAAAGAAATGATGAAAAAGTTTCACCAAACTGAAATTTGTACCCTTCAGCAGGTTCAGCTCTCTGAAGGTGAATGGAAATGTGAACTGGATGTCCTGGTTAGCTTTGTCCTCAGCCCAGTCCAGAGTGAACTTCTGTGTCAAGACTGTTTTCCCAATGCCAGCCACTCCCTTTGTCAGCACTGTTCTACATGCCTGATCTTTACCTGATGAGGGTTTAAAGATGTCCTCACATGTGATCGTTCTTTCTGGTCTGGCCGGTTTCCTCACAGCAGTTTCAATCTGTCTGACCTCGTGTTCATTGCTGAGCTCTCCAGTCCCTTCTTCTGTTATGTAGAGCTCTGTGTAGATGTCATTCAAAAAAGTTGGGTTTTGCGTTTTAGCTGTCCCCTCAAACAAGCACTGGAATTTCCTTTTTAAACTAAATTTAAGTTTACGCTGACATACTGCAGGGGATTCTGCATAAACACACAAAAACAACATATAAAATTATCCCTCACAAGTAAAGTTAGAAATAATGTTAAAGTTTAGGTTGCTGACAATTTTGAAAACTAAAACCACAGATACTTTTACAAAAGGTTGTTGTAGCTTCTATGTGTGAAATATGAAGCCAATGCTGAACCTGTATTCTTTCCAACAAAGAACAAACTTGCAATTAATCAATGAAAAACATGCAAAGACCTAAACTCTGCAACTTTTGCACTTTTTACTGTCTTCAGCTTTGAAACCTGTGTGACTGAGATCTTAGCCATGTACAAAAAAAAAATCCAAAAATAAGATCTGGTTTTGTCAAATCTATATTTTCAAAATAGTGTAAGTTTAAAAAAATATACAAACAAATAAAAATTACAGGATTATGGCCATAGTCACTGTCCCCATTGTTACCTGTGGTTTCATAACACCAAGATGGCCACAGTCAAAACATTTAGCTTGAAGCACTAGCAGTAAACTGACAATCAGTCAGTGATGACGAATGGGCTTCAAGTACATAATAAACTCGTTAATCTGTTATACCTGCATTAACTGCTCAATGTGGAGTTTAAAGGGCATCTTTATACTGTATATTTGTTTCCTTTTTCTCATTGTCTTCCTTCCTCACATACCATCCATTAAAATGCAGCTGTAAAATGTTCTTACTGCTCTGCAGAGAATCAGCCAGGTTCTCGTGGTTTATTCTTCTCAGGAAGTGCAGTGCGATGTTTTGAAATGCCTCTCTGCTGCTCCTCATGCCCTCATTCATATCGGTGTCCATTTCTCCATCTGAACACTTTGATTTTAAAAGCCTTTGCATTCGCTTCAACTCGTCTTTCACAAAAGTGAAAATACTCTCCTCAAGCAACTGAAAAATTATATAAAAAGATGAAACATATACTGTGACTAAAAAACCAAACCAAACAAATCAAAAACTGCTGAGACTTTGCTAAGTGCACACTGAGACAAATTTACCTTAAATATTGAGTCTATGTCTGTTTGATGGTCCTCCACACATGAAGCACTATGAACCTCTGAGATGTCCTGATACAGTCTGTGAATAAAAATGAAACACACTACACTAAAAAAAATTATCTTTTTGATAAAGAATGACAATCTATTTTACTGGAAAACTGTTTTCCAGCATGTTGCCACTTCAAGATCATTCTCAACATGGTTCTCTTGTTGCACAAAATAAATCTAATAATTCATAAATAAAGTGCAGAAATTGGTAGAAAAACTGTGTAAATTATAAGTTATAAAGTAGTTTTTTTAAAAATTAATAAAATTTGTAATAAACATGCAAAGTCGCAAAAAAGCCCCCCATCATTACTAAAGTTTACATTGCGGGGTTCCACAGGCTCAATACTTGGTTCACTGCCATTTTAGGGTTTTATTGAATACGCAATGAAATGCCAGAGAACTGATCCTATGGATTGCAAAGATCTTCAATGTATTTTCAGTAAGTGCCACATAAAATATATGTATATATGGCTACCAATGATATGGCAGCCATAATAATGATAAACATATGTAACTAGCAAGTTACCTCAACTGTTTTGTTATTGATAAGGGGCCACCACAGCAGGTAGCTCCACATATTAAGTCTGGCAGATTTTGTGATTCTTGCTCTTCCTAAGGAAGCCTACAAGGGATTTTTCCCAGAGAATTAACTCATTAACTCATTGGCCCAGTTTTCCAACAATTTACAGTGTTTTAACGTGTACCAGTATTAGATTTATGACAGTTTTAGGGTTTCAGTATGTTGCCACAAGTCATTTTGACGTGCAGTCTAGAGGAAACGTCACAGTCCTGATAATAATAGAATGAATAAAGAATAATGAAATGAAAAAAATGTGTTAAAAGTTTAGACTGCAACATAAAATCATTACTACTTACATACTTTGCTCCTTAACAGACTTGATGTGATGTTAATAAACTGAGGTTATATAGTGACACGCTAACTCACTCTGTGCCAGAAGTCTGCTTTCTGTTAAAAGCAAGAGGTGGCTCCTTGGAGTGGTCACTCATGACCGAATCACAGCTGGATACAGGACAACCAGGCCTCACCTCCCCAGTCCTGGCAGAGAAACACCAGACAAAAGCATTATTGTTATGCCAAAAAACTGTTTAATAAATGCAAGTGTAGCAGATACTGCAGTGGACTAACTCCTTTCCAGAAGATTGTTGTCTATTAAAAGCAAGAGGTGACTCCTTTGAATGATTGGTCTTGATCGAAACAGAGCTTGGTGCAGTTGATGTAGTCTGCTGCTGCTCCTGGCTTCAAAACAAGAGAGTTGTTAGTCTCACTAGTCATGTAGGAAAACCTGGACATATCTGAGCAAGATTCCTATGTCTTGAGTCTACTATTGTTCGCGTTGCTGACACAACTGCAGTGCTGCGTTTACTCATTCTCTCTTTTTCTTTTTTTCCCCTTTCTTGCCTGTCCTGTTTGGCTCTTTTGCCATCAGAATTATTGTCTAAAGGCGAAGAAAGATGCCCAACAGATTTACTTTACCAAATGGACCATCCCAGCCTTGCTGTAATGGTCTATTTGATTCACCTTTTATTGTTTATTTTATTTTATTTTCACTTGCTAAATACGGGACAGATTTGACTGGGGAAAAGAAAGGGGAGAAAGAAAGAGGGAAAGAAAAACAGCGGGGAAGAGGGATGGGGATAAAGGGCAAAAAACAAAAACCAACAAAATAAGCAGACAAAAAATACATATATCAATCACCTGGATCACCTGTTGAGAAAGAAAAAAAAGAAAACAAGCAGAAAAAAAAAGAGAGCAACATAATAAACAACATCATGATGATCTATGGGAATATATATCGTAAGCACATATGGACACAGACATACAGGCACACACAGATACAAACATCCATTCCCACCCTCATGCTCTCATATGCAAATACTCAGCACTTACCCAAAGTGGAAACAGACATAAAGAGACACTGTACACACAATCACACTCCCCAAGTGTATTCTATACCCCAGGTCTAGGTACCCTTGCCCATGGAGGGGGAAACTGCACCCAGACCCAGGTAGTGTTACCCTTTTCCCTGGGGTGGAGAGAAGCAGACTGTCCCGACTCGGCAGCAGCAGGGAGGCCCCACATTCCAGACCCCAATCGGACGGCCAACTCCTCCTAGCAGGCTGCAGAGAACGGGGGTGTGTGAAGACTCCAAACCTCCCTCCACCCGCTCATATGTAGTGTTGATGCATGTGTGTTCTAAGATGCATTTAAAACCCAGGAGGGCATGGAGCTACCTGCCAGAGAGCAGCAGGTAAGCGCATAGCCCCTCCTGATAGCTCTCAATGTCTACATGTATTTAAAATTGAGAGGTGGGCAACGACACCAGGGGTGAGGTTGTACACCCTGATGGTCTTTTGGATTCCGTGTAGCGTGCCCACCCCCAAGATACTATATGCATGTGTTATGAGAGTGTGAGTAATGTGAATGTCTATGTTGTGAGATAAAATTGAGGCACAGGCAGTCAGAGGGGGACAGAGGGGGGGATGCATCCCCTGCACCCTGGTGACACACCCCTACCCCAAGGCCCTGCATGTGTGGGTGATTGTGGTGGAGTGGGAAGAGGGAGGCAGCTGGAGATGGGGAGGGAAGGAAGGGAGAGGCAAGTGACCCCTCCCTAGGGCCAGCTCCCCCGCTGACCCCAGTAGGCACCCACACACTCTGCAACCCGCCATGGAAAGGGGGCCCAGGCCCATCCGGACCGGGGCCCAGTTCGGCAGCGCCGCCTGGCCCCACAGAGCCCGGGACAGCCCACCCGACCCCACCACAGAGAAAACTGCACCCACCCTGTCATCCACTCATCTTCCAGACTACACAAGACAATCGACGCCCAGGCTGAGGTCTTCCTCTACCTCTCCTGTATCTCCCCCTCATGCAGAGTGAGTTCCTGAAGAGAGGAGACCTCCTGCAAGATGTAACAGCCTCCCCCACCTGTTTAAGAGTCCCCCATGTGGCTCGATGCACTGGCGGCACCCTGCGCCAGGGCTGGGCCCCCATACACCCACCCGCCCACAACCCCGGCAACACACCAACCAGGACCCAAGCCCCCGAGGCCCAGCCAGGGCCCCAGCCCAGAGACGGAGCACCCCCAGAACCCCACGCCCGTCCCGGATCCACCCAGGGGCAGCCAGGCTACCAGGTCAGTAACCCACGTCCATCAGCACAGACCCTCCCCTAGCCCCGCTGCACGCAGCCACAAGGAAACCGTCACCTAAGAGCCAACAGAGCCCCTAATAGGACATGACCGTTACCCCGGGTTGAGCCCCCCAAGGAAGATGCTCCTGGGGAATCCCCCAACGCCCCAAGCCTGTCCCTACCCCCACACCAAAGGTGGGACCAAACTATGACCCCCCACCCCCACTAGGTGATGGAGCTGATCAAAGGAGCCCAGAGCAATTGATCTGATGTGGTGGCAGAGGCTGTATCAAGACTAATGTAATCTAATAGGTAATTTCTATATTGGTTATAATTAAGATTATTTTTTATATTTTTTCAGTTCATGAGGACTGTTTTCTTGGCAATGCATAGGGCAGTGAAAACCATTTGGGCGATATTCTTTTCTGAAGTGACATTATCTAAGCTGCCCAACAAACACACTAAACGGACTTCGATAAGTCTTCACATATCTCGCGAGAAAACTTCTGAACAGGTGGACAGAACCAAAGAGCGTGGATATAATTGTCCGGTGAATTGGTTTGGCAGTGTGAGCAGTTGTTGGCAGACGTAATGTCATGAACTGGCTGTGTGGCAGGCAGGAAATAGGACCCAAACGCAAACTCACGGGAAAACAGGACTGAACTCAAAATGCAGCTTTATTGCTGACAAAAGATGACAAAAGATAACAGCGATACAAAATAACATGAAACTAAACTGGGAAGTACTAAGGAACGGACTTACAAGAAAACACACGGAGGGGCACAAAGTCACGAGGGAGAACGCGACACAGAACTGAGGGAGACGCAGACATAAATACACAGAGAGTTAACGAGGGAAGTGGGAGCACACGGGGAACACAGGTGACACTGATAATCATAACAAGACACGGTAGGAGTGAACGCAACACTGACGGGAGACGGACAACGTAAAAAAGGAAGTACACAGAGGTTCAGACAGGAGGAGAGAGAGCACAGGGAGAACACAGACATAACGGGCTGGGGAAAACATGGAATAAAACACAAGGAGAGACGAGGGCTCACAGATACACAGGGGCACACAGGAGGTAACCAAATAAGGAACATCTTTAACAGAACCTAGGAACCACGGCATAAGGAACAAAATACAAGAAAACTAAGAATGCTGGGCCAATATGGCCCAGGATCATGACACGTAAAGCCCATCTTGAACATCCGATGACCTGTATAGTGTACTCTATGTAGTATTTTGTAGTGAATTAATTGAAGACTGGGATTTCTAATTAAATGAAAGGTTTTTAAGCAAATCTGAGACCAGAAGTTTTGGTCTAAGTTAACTGATAAATCCGCTTCCCATTTTGCAATAGGAAGTGATATTGATTCATCTGTTTTAGAAAGCATTCTGTATATTTTGGAAAGTAATTTTGGGGTTTTAAGAGTAAGAAATTGAACCACACTTGGTGGTGTTTGTAGTTCAACTTGACCCAGTTTAAATTTCTTTTTTACTATGGATTTAATTTACTCATTCTCAGTCATTCACAGCTCACTGACAATAGTGCTGGCAAATTATTCAGCAGGATCAAGTTTTCGGGGATACAGATAACTGACAGCCTCTTAATACGTCAGTACTGGTTGAAAAGGGCTGACCGGCATCTGCACATTAGGCACTGCAGCAGATCGTCTTCACTGTGTCTATATGCCTAAATACATTGAGTTGCTGCCATGTGATTGGTTAATAAGATACAAGTTAATAAGCAGTTTAACAGGTGTACCTAAGGATGTGGCCAGGGAGTGTGTAAGTGTCAGAAACACAAGTAACTTACCTCTGAGCTTCAGTGGGCCCACAAAGTTCCCCTGGTGTAGTGTTTTTAGAGGGAAGGATCCCATCATTTTTCCCTTCTACAAGATCCATGGTGGAGCTCATATCTTTATACAAAATACACCCAACTTACAAAACATCTGAGACTAAAGATTGCTTTCTAGAACACGTCAAGGATATTGTTAAATTCAACACATATTTTCAAAGTGTTGTCAGAGCTTCCAATATTAATTATATTTCCTCAAAAGAAGCAAATACCTTTTAAATTCTTATCCATCAAATCATCAGTATTTTCTGTAATGTCTGTAAAGGAGAAACAGAACATGGAGTTTGTTGTTTATTATTATTTTATTATTAAGACCCTGCATATATTGGACTTGCACATATGTTTTCCACACTCACTGAAATGGCAGCACAGATTACTTTTTATGAATGATGACCCCCACCCCCTCTTCTGATCTCTATTTTAATTTTAGTTAGTTTAATCTTAGTTAGCTCACAATAAATGGATTCTAATTTATTGTTAGATTATTTTCTTGCTCGGTGTTAAGCTCTTAATATATTCACACTTATATAGTGTTACTGGCCACTCAAAGTGTCCATAAGTTTTACAATACTTACTACTTCCTCATGACTATTTATACTACACCAAAGTGTATCTATATTAGAAATACTGAGTAGAAAAAATGTGTTTTACTTTATTATTACTCCCCAAAACTAATTACAACTAAATGTGAAATTAAGCCTGAAGAGTTTGTATTAAGGATACTTTGTCTTGTGGGGCACCTTGTCTTGACTGAGGTACATCAAAGTGAACACAAGCTCGTTAACAATTACCTTATTGTCGCATTTATGATATGTACGATTTATACAAATCGAAAGTTTGTGTTACAAACTGTTTATGCTGTAAAAAGTAATTTGGATTAACGTTTGTGACAGGCTGCTTATACATGTGATGTTTTTAAATGCTTTTTACTTATAATTCTTGTACTAATGTCGAAGGCTGCAGCTATCGATTATTCCATCGATTAATTGAGTAATCAGATAAGAATGAGTTTCGTCTTATTAATGAGCAATATTAAATAAACAAAAGGGAAAAAAACACAGGTCTTTCAATATCAACTGCTCATTTCCATTATAAAATTGCAATATTTAAAATCTCTAACAACAACAATAACAACTAAACCCTTTAATTTTATGCACATGTCTTTTGAAATCTATTTTTTGTAGTTCTTTCCAGTTCTTTTTCTACATATTTTAGTAGAAATTCTGGAGGCTTACTGCAGATTTGTGTAAAGCAAGCGGAAGTGGATGAAGACTCTGGCTCCAGAGTGTGTTTAGTCGCAAATGTAGGCAACGGCGCGCTACAGAGCCGTGTGTTAAACGAAGCATCGAAGCAAAGAATTTGTGTCGAGTTTTTTGGCTGTACTGTCTCCAACAGGGTCAGGAGATGCTGCACTTCACTTGTTCTGACCTAAATGCATTTTAAAGAGAGAAAATAAGATTTTACAGTACCTTTTCATGGTGACAGTAACGCTCCAAGCTCACTGAGAAAATCCACCATTGAAAGAAGTGCACAAATCCCACTATCACGCCCAGGCGTGAGTCACACCAGGGCGTGTGACAAAGGTAGAAAAAACGTAACGCTCCCTGGGCTTTTTCCTTGCAGGCAGTCAGTGCCTCTGCTCTGATTCGGAAGCATTATAAAGCAATAACTAGTAACCATAGGTGTTAAAAATAAAGACATAACATTTTGCGTAAGCTTTAGTTATACCAGTACGTTTCCATAAAGCTGCAAATCTGAAGAGGAAGCGTGCCTGAAGTCGCAGCGCAGGGCAAACAAACACACATCACAGGCTGAGGATGAATCACAAAGATAAACTTGGACCTCAATGAAGCTTCAAGTTTCACTCTGACTGGAGAAAAAACTGTGACATGATGAACAAATAAAACCTTTAGTGATGTTAAAATGGACTTTTTACCATAAAACAGGGGCCTCTGCACACTTCTTCACTCTGCACTGCTTCTTTTGAGAAGCCTGATTCCTGGCTTTTCTCTTCTGCATTTTGCTTAGTGAATAAAAATAACAGCCTATATTTGGCAATCCTGCCTCTGCACTCAGAGAAACTTCCTCTTTCTTAGTTTTTTCCCCCCTCAAACTGCAGTCGTTGCTTTGTTTTGCTCAACACTTTGTACAGTTTTTGCTTCTCTTTTCTCACCTTTCTAAGAGCTGCAAATGATGAGTTCACTGTAAGTTCATTTAACTGCTTGCATTTTAGCCTTAGCAGGATTTTTCCAAGGCAACTTTATAATACATGAGGTTTCATGTGAGTAATTAACTTAATGGAGAAGCAAATCAGTACAACAGGTACCAACAAGACTGGAGAATAGAAGGATGTTTGTGTTCACAGGATTTTTACCATGGGAACGGGTAATTAGGGTTAATTCAGTCTTGGATTTAAGATCCTCCTTATGACTGCAAAACTTGTTTGAACATCATCACATAAGCTTTGCTGATTGTCAGAGTAATTTTAGTAAAATCAGTTCATTCTGCCTGGCAGCTTCATATTTAACATCATTTGTCCGATATATCCAGTCTCCCTCCTCTGCACATGTTCACACCATGTCAGCGCCGCTTCTATTCCTTTGTCTCTAAACCACCTCAACGTAAGTGTCCCTGTGATGTACTCATTTCTAGCTTATCCTCGTCTCTCCTAATAAAGACCCTGCCAGCTCCATCACATGAAATACAATACAATATACAAAAAGCAATTAGATATACAACCAAAACACACAGTGGAAATACAAACATTAAATCATACTAAGTTTAAAGTGATCACAAATCTGCTTTGAGACATTGTTGAGAAATGCCTTGAAAGTCTTATTATAATTCCACAATTTGCTTCATTTTTGTGACACCACACTTGATTTCTTTAAATTCCTAAAGTTCAAAAGAATTAAACAAAATTTAAAAGTCCTTAAGATGCTCATGAACAAAATTTATTAATAGGAGCTACAAACTCATATATTTTTCCTTGATTTTTGATGACACGTCAAATTCCTCCATTTACAGAGTTCCTGTGTAAACATTCAATTTACCGGACTTTGGACAAAGGATTTTCCAGGACTTTTTACAGTTTACACACAGGCGTCTGATCATGAGTCACTCTTCTTCATCTAGCCTCCTGAGAACCACCTTATTCATTTATGTCCTCTGTAATGGACACTTGTTTTTGGTCTATATCTTTTTACTACTTTGAGCTACCCTAAGAAGTCCCGATGGACATCCTGGGCTTTCCATTGATCTCTCATGTGTTTGGGTGGCCTCTTTTAGCTTCAAAGAGGAAGGGAATAACAAAAAAATTCAATGGGAAGATTCTCTTTTCCTCAGTTTTCAGGAGGCTAGAATGTGGCAAATAAGAATGCTAAATGTAATGTGTACTCATTATTATCTACTCTCCGTTGTATCTAATGTCATTCTTATGGACTAGATTTCTTAAGGAGACTCCTGGGCAAAACATTTCCCACCCAGTAATCCGTGGTCCCAAGAAAATATCTCCCACACCATTACACCATGAGCAACCTGAAATGCTGATACAAAGCAGGATGGAGCCATGCTTTCACATTTAAACCAAATTCAGACCTACTATCCAAATGTTGCATCAGAAATGGAGACTCATCAGACCTTCTGTTGTCCAATTTCCTGCTCATATAATATAGTATAATATTATATATAATAATCATATATAATATAGGAGTGATACCTGATGTGGTCTTTTGCTGCTGCTGCTTCAAGGTTTAACATGTTTTGGGCTCAGAGATGCTTTTCTGCATACCTTTGTTGCAACAAGTACATATTTGAGTTACTTTTGTTTTCATCAGCTTAAAACAGCCTGACTAGTCTCCTCTGACCTCTGACATCAGCAAGGCGTTTTCACCCAGAGAACCACCGCTCACTGGACATTTTCTCTTTCTCCAAATCCTAGAGATGGAAAATCCCACCAGATTAATAATTTCTGAAATGCTCAAACCAACAACCAAGCCACATTCAAAGTCAATCAAATCCCCCATTCCTAATTCACAGAGTTCAGGTAAAGGCTGTTACCTGTAAATACACAGATCTTTATGTGTTTTACAAGTGTAACTGAGTGCAAGTATATATTGCACACAAAGATGTGCATGCTGAATAATGTCATTAACTAAATGAAGTCTCATTTTATGCTGCTTTGGATTCTGCTGTGGGCTTTTCCCAGACCAGCGGGGGATTTAAATCAGATTTATTTAGGAGTGAATGAGATTTAACTCCAAATAGGATCTCCAGGTCAAACCATTTGTAAATTTATAGTGATCGTGATTTTATCTCAGTGGTATTTAGATCTCTGAGAGTCGACGCCACCTCGTGGATGAGCTTTTACAGACTTATTTGTTTTCTTTTCAATATTTAGCCACTAGATGGGGACGTAGGGCTCCAAATGGCACAGTTGTTTACAGGTTATTTGTGACACCGAGTCTGTTTAACTACACTGTTCAGAATCAAAGAGTCCCAGACTGCTGGTGTCTCTGGTTTATTTTCAATGTACTCTAAACTGTTAGGCCACAGGGCTTTGATGGTCAAATTGAGGTTTGTACTGTAAACCTAGAAACTTCCATACTCTCTATATTTGTTTATAACAACGAAACTGTTTATTTTAGGTAGTACTTAGTTGAATTTGCAGGAAAGTACAGGGCACATAAGATGTGAGATGAGGAAATATTGCTTATTTGTCCATAAATTTACCATGAAATAACCCAGTACTTAAAATTACTTAACCATTTAATTATGGTTATTATTTATTTATTTTTATGTTATTATTTTGTTGTTTCCTGTACAAAAGTTGTTACACAAAATTACATGTAATTACAGGCTACTTGTGCGTTAGTCACGGGTTTCACAGGTGACTCCATAATATGGCTCCCATTCCAGAAAGTACAGAGTGCTTACAGTGCACTTGTTTCATTGTTTCTTGCAAAAACCTGACTTGTTGCCTACAAAATGCATGTAAGTACAGGGTACTTGCACCTTACTTGCAAGTCATGTTATAAAGTGTTACTATTTCCTATTATAATGAATGCATTATAAGAAACTATTTGTCTGTATTATCCATTACCTGCTTATTAGGTACGCATAACTAAGACATGGTTGCCTTTATGGAGGTTATGAAAAAAGGTTAAAGCCTATAAAGCGATGGTTTTGTTTTGGGGGTTTTCTGTTGTTGGTGCACAAAAACATTTTATTAAGAATTTCTGGATCACTTTCATTCACAAACATTCAAATATATATACAAAGCCCCACCCACTTTGTTGGGCCAACTTTTGTTTTTTTCTATTCGACTATTTTAGAGAAATACAATGCTTAACATTTTTTTACTACCTGCCATAAAATATAAACAAACAAAAATTATTTTAGATATCTGTTTTGTTTTAAATTCAAACTAACTTTGTTATTTGCTTAAAAAATAACAAACTGAATTTATGATTTTATACGCAAATTTGAGCCAGCAGACTGGACTTCTCTGAGAAGTAAGAAATTAGTCAAGCACAACATTTTACCACTAAAACTAAACGATTTAAGAAACCAACAACACAGCCCTGTACTAGATGGCACCAATACATCACTGTTCCGCTGCTTATGGGACTGGGTGAAGATGAAAGGTGAGCAAAGCACATTCTATGAGGATTCAGTCTGTGGGACACAGGAGAGACTCCCAAATAATGACATTCTGGGACAGATAAAATGGAAAGGGCCCTGCCCTCTTTCTATTTCCCCAGATGCAAACTGTTATGCCACTGTGACAGGCCTAGTGCCCCCTCCAAAGAGGTCAAGGAGATTAGCCCCTGCTGATATAAATGATGTGAGGCAGATGTGAGGTGACACATATAAAAGCTGTTTTATATGTGTCAATATCTGCAATGAATCTGTATTGATTAACGAACACTGAACAACTGCCATACACCTGATATACAATGCCCCGCATTGATGATGCCCTGTATTCCGTGTCAGGCAGCCAATGGTTCTCAGTATTAGACCTGCGTATGGGATACGATCAGATAAAAAAGGCTGCGAAGACAAGGAAAAGATGGCATTTATTTGTCCCCTTGGTATCAAAGTCAAAGTCAGCTTTATTGTCAAAGACCAGTCATACACAGTGTTGGTCAAGTTACTTGAAAAAAGTAATCAGTAACTAATTACTGATTACTTCCACAAAAAGTAATCCCGTTACTTTACTGATTACTTATTTTCAAAAGTAATTAATTACTTAGTTACTTAGTTACTTTTTAAAAACACGATTTACAACCTGAATAGGTAATAAAGCGATAGATCTTTCAGCCCAATTCTATTTTTTCTGCATAATCCATCATACAAAATGTAATCAAATGGAAAAGTCTCTTTTTTAACTTGTTTTATCAGTTTTAACCTTTTAACTTTATGCATCAAGCAAACATTTAATTATATGCAACATTCTCTGACTTGAAGAAATTAGTTTAACATTTAAACCTATTTTCTGCACATTCCAGCACAGAAAATAAAATATTTTTTGTGTTTACACTCAGTCTTTCAAATAGATGCAAGTAAAAAACAGCAGAAAATAAATAAAGTCAAAGACTAGCGGTCCTGTTGCTCTATTTTCACTTGTAAAGCAGGACTGGGGTAGGCGGAGGTTTACCCTGGTGCAGGTGTGCCGTGGTCAGTGGAAGAATCCGTGAGTTTCTCTGTGAG